GGTGTGTGGATGAATTCTTGGCACACTTTAAGGTGCTTAGGTGCAGCAGTTACAAGCTAAGCTGTCTGTGCCATTCTTAGCTAACAGGAACCTGCCTGTTTTGCTGAACCTCCTTTTCCTGGTGCAGCTGCGGAGCAAGGGGATGAGGGAGCTGGATAGCACAGACTTCAAGCTGCTTCACCAGGGTGAGTCTGTGTGTCCGTCTTCTCCCAGGGGGCTTTGATCTGTGTTTGTTAATTGTTCCATAAGATGATTAGGGGCTGGCTCTTCATCGTTTGAGAGAAAGGTGAACCTTGCATTAATTACAGTTATGGTTGCTTTGAGATACTCTTATAGCCAGAGCATTGTAAAGAGCCCTGGTTACCAGCTCAGTCAACAGAACCCAGGTTCTCTGCCTCTTGTTTTTCAAATATATTTGTTGTCTGAAACCTCACAGGGTGGCCAAAGTATTCCCCTGGCTATGACATGATTTCAGGGTCTGTGCCTATCATTGACTTGGCACATGACAGTATTGCTAATGTGCTTCCTGAAACATCATTCCCCATCCACACTTGCTAACACCTTTGCTGTGGGGTTCAGGCCACAGGGGTGTCCTGTGAACCAGCCATCAGGGACAAGCAGCCTAGTGAACCTGGGCTCTTCCTGGAGCGTGAGTCCAGAGTGTATGGGTCCCAACTACAGGACCTGCCCACTCCACCCCATAGACATAGAAGAGCAGGCTGTGTTTGTTTACTCACCATACCATGACCTGCTTTCTTGTCTGGTGATCCTTACTTGGTGACTTCTCCCTTCTTACTTGGCGACTTCTCCCTTCTTACTTGGCTATTGGAGGTTCATGCAGGCTGTGAAAAAAAGAACAGATACTAGAGGGAACTTCAGCTGATCCATCCTCTCATCTCTTCCCTGCTCTGACAAATTGATCTCTCCAGCAGGCTTTGAAGGACTGTCCCCTTCAATTTGAAATGTTCCATGTCTTGAGGCCGCCCGTGTTGCCCTTGTAAAGAAGCAGTCTTTCTCAGACATTCATTAGTCAAGGGAACTGGGGGTGTGGAAGAAACATGTCCTCTTTATACCAGCCCTTTTTAGCTGCTGTGATTTCAGAGCACAGCTCAGCTGCTCCCAGGAGTCACGAGCGTCTTCTACTCTTGCTTTCTGCTCTGTATTTTTCAGCACCACTCTCTGCCTGCCCCAGCCACCCACTTAATTCCCTGCATGGCTCCCCAGGCTATGTTCTTCAGGGATGGGTGTGCAGCGTACTCTCCTCTGATGAGGCCTACGTGAAACCAGCTCGTAGATGGAAGGGGTGTGAGGAGGTGTGTTGATGTGTGTTTTTTGAGAATTGCTTACTCAGACTTTAAGCTCTTCAAAAGATCTCCTAGGACAGTTTTGCTGAGCCCTGCAGTCCTGGATTTCCCTCACAAACTCTTGCTAAACGTTGTTTCTAAGTGATTGGTGCTTACAACAAACATGGCACGTTTATTCCTAGTGTGAGCAGAGTTGGTAAGAGTGGAGGAGCACAGCTCTCCATGTCATTCCCCGCTCTGGTCACCATGTGAGACAGGCACATGGCTGTTTATGGTTGACCTAGGATAAAACTCACTCAGTGGAAACAGGTAACCTACAGTCTGTTGCTCTTGAATTCATTACTGCCCAATGTGATATATGCCCTTTAATATACCCTTTTCTATTCCCCTGTCCCCATTGTCATCCTCCACTGCACTGTCCAGTCTGAAGCAAACGCTCCAGAGCAGATGCTTTTTCCTTTGCCTGTACCATGCTCTGTTTATTTTCACTTCAGGTTGCGTTGCTTTTGTCTGAATTCCCTCCCCACTGACTGACTTCTTTCTTGTGCTGAGGTGCTCTGTTATGTTGGTGTCTGTATTATGCACATTCTTTTGTTTACAGTCAGTAATCTCTGTGGGAAGTGCAGACCAAGGGACACTGATCTCCTGCAGCCATCCTTGAATTTCCTCTACTGGAGCCTTCATCAGACAACACCTTGTAGTCAACAGAGAGGTGAGGCAAGGTTGTATTGATTGCTAAATTAATCTCAGTGAGGTTGTAGTTTGGCCATCAGAGACTGTATTCTAACTGTCACAGCAGGTAAGGTGGATTTTTCCCCTTCTAGACACAGCATTACAGTTAACAAAGACCATTTTGTATTTGGGATGAGGTTTTTTAGGTTGAGGGTTTTGGTTTGGTTTAGTTGGTTTTGCTGCCTTCTGATGATTCAGGAATTGGCTGCTGAGAGACAGAACCACTGTATTTTTTTCTTGTTCATAGAACACAGCAGTGTGGCTTTGGTGCCTTGTTTGAAATGTCCTGGTATTGCCACGGTTTAAAAAATGAAACAACAATAGAGAACAGCTTTAACCAACCTTCCAGCTGTGTTAGCTGAAGGCCAAGCGGTGGCTTGTGCTGTGGGAGATGAATACCATCATTGCTGGACAGCCTTAGGTGACCTGTGGCAGCTGAGGCTGCCTCACTGCAGCAGGGGTGTGCTCTGCACTTCTGCTTGTCAAGCTGGTTTAACCTCTGCCATCCCATCAGCCTCTCCTATTGTGTTTCTCCCACACAGCAGTGGCTGTGCTGCTCTCCAACGTGTCCTTGCTAGAACTCCTGCAGAAGGTTTTGGAGTGCACCTGGTTGCAGTCTCCTCCTCCCTCCGAAGCTGCTTACCTATCACCTGAGGATGCCTTGCTGTGCTCTGGATGGCTGTTGGTTGCATCCCTCTTACTTTGTCAGCATCGCTACAACACTGAGGTTAGAACCACTCTAGTGGAATGGCTAAACCTTAAAAATAAAAAAAATCTTAATTACCAGAGGAAAGTGGTTTGCTTTGGCCTGGAATCTGCTAGCCTTGGTTTCTTTTTTGTTATTGTCCACAAGTTATTCCTTTCTGCACTTCTCCAGCAGGACTGGAAGCTAGCATGTTGCTGAAGGCTGAGACCTGAATGACTGGAGAGTTAGAGAGGGGCAGAAATCCGGGGGGGAAAAGTGCATACCTGGCCCTCTTGTTCCAAATCACTTCCCTCTTCAGGACAGAGCAAAATACATTTTAAGGCCTTTCTCAAGGGAAGGCTGGGAGTGGGAGACACAGCTCCCATGTTGTAAACTGCTTTTTTTGTACTAAAATGATTGATAGTGGAACAGTCACAATCCAGACCTATAATTGGCAAGTAAGTGTTCAATATTAGCAAGCTCATATGAATATGGTCAGCTGTCATTGTATTTGATGCTTTGCAGTCTGACAAGAGAGCTAAGTGGGAGTTGTCAGCTGATGCTGGAATTACAGGTTTGAGGGAAGCACTTTCTAATGCCAACACAAGGGGATAACTTTTCCTTTTGAAGTATCTACTCAGGCCGCTCTCCCTCTCTTGATAGAGTTAAAGAGCATGTCCTGAGTTGTGAGCTCTGCTCTTGCAGTTATACCCAGCAAAGTATGTGCTTTAGGAGTCAGTTCACCTCTTCACAGATGACAAAATCACATTAAGGATATGTGTGCATCTGCACAGAGAGGTAAGGGTTGGTTTTCTAATGCTGAGGAAAGATGTTTTCCAAAAGGCCAACCCAGACCAAATCTGGACCTGTTGTTTCATGGGTGTGCTGCCTCTGCTTAGGTCTTACAGCATGGGACTTGCATGGACTGTCAGCTGTGTGAATGCATAGCAAGACCTGCCTGTCCTTCTAACTGCTGAACACAGTTTACCTTCTCAGTTTTCAAGTCACTACTGTGTCTAGGTGGTCAGTGTTGTGCCAGTCCCCAAATTAAATTAAATTCTAGTGGCTAGTGCTGAGTTTCATCTTCTGGTAGTGACTCTCTTAGCTCATACTGATCCTTGAAGTGCAGTGATTTAGTGGCTTATAAGCCTGTTGTTTGGCACCATCACTACCTTACCAGCTTGATCTGCTATGACCTGTAGTCCAGAATCCTTCTTGCACCAGAGATGGGGAAGGAAGCTACAGATGCAGGTGGCAAATGGAAGTGGTTCAAGGATGCTTCAGCATTTCTGATCTTCAGCATTTCTAAGCTTCAGTGTTTCTATCTTCCTGCTAAGGGGGAAGGAGGGGATAAGAGGAAGACTCACTTATCTTGCTGCTTTCTGCTGCTCAGTATAGCTGAAGCTGCACAAAGCATCCTGGAGGCCCTTGTAAGAGAGCCTTTGTGGCTGTGAATGTGAGCTGATGCCAGGCTGTCTCCCTGAGCCTGAGGTTTTTTAGAGAGGAACAATGGCTCTGAGAAGTGTCTACATTCATCTTAGGCTGGTGTTAATAGTGAGGAGTTGTCTACCCATAGCAAGCTTGCATGTTAACTGTGTTACTGCTGCTGGCTTTAGCAGAAGCCTGTGGGTAATCTTGGGTCATGGATGGTAGACTTTGGCTTATCAGTTCTTGGGCACGTAACCACCACCACTCTGTTGCAGGAGGTACTCCTGGCTCTCCTATTGAACATTTCTTTCTTCAGAAGACAGTTTGAAGGAATCAGCCCTGTGGTCCTTATGCCAGCCTTCTCTTGCCAACTCTCTACCTTACTGAAGAGCTTGAACCCTTCTGGGGCTCCATAAGTCTTTATGCCATCACTGCTGAATGGCTGCTCTGTGAAGGCAGGCTTCCCTTTCAAGCCCCCCTTTCCTGTTTCCCCCAGTTCCCAAGCCCCTAACCTCCTCTGCCTCCTTCACTCATGCCATAGTTCTTAGCCCTTGGCTCTCCACAGGCTTCCCAGCTCCAGCAGGCAGGGTCAGATTCTTGTTGTCACTGCTGGCTTTTGGCTGCCTGGCTCCTCAGACTTGCTGGCTGGCTGTGGGGCTAAGGTACCACTGTGTTTGGTGATGGCTGTTCCTGCTCCTTCATGTGCTCGGCAGTCTGGTAGCCATGTGCCAGAGGGCCTGCAGGGAGGAGCGATCACGAGACAGGCAAATGAGTTGTACTGTGGTTTGGAAGCTGTGTGCGGCTGGCAAGTGGCGGTGAGTGAAACTTGAGGGCCCAGTGATGCCACTCTCCCTCCTGGATTAGACTCCTGAAACCCTGTTGCTGTTCCCTTGTTTTATAATGCTCAACATGAGGTAGTGTCTAAGGACTGAAAGTATGTATGGGAGGTTTTTCACTTGGTTCAAACCAGCACCATTTATTCTCTTGTGTTTCATTCTCCTCTAGGTTCACCAGACAATCTCTCTAGACCTAACAGAAGTCCTAAAAGCAGTCATCTTCAGGAAGAAGAAGCCAGTCCTGCTGTTAGGTATTTTACATCTGTTACAGGGATTTGCCTGGAAGCAGCTGCTGGTACCATGCTATGGGCAACAAGGGAGAACTGGTGACCCTGGGATGGGATGGTGCAGGTGCTGGTGGGAATCTGAAAGCTTTGGTCCATTTGGCTTTGGGAGTACATAACCGGTGGTGAGAAAGGGCAAAAGGGAACTGTCTGGGGTTCTGCTGTGTTTGGACAAATCTTCCCTGGAGGCTGGTAGTGACATCTGGAACCGAGCGTGAACAGGGATAGTGTTTCACAGGGAGGAGACAAACAAGGGCACTCATGTTGCCATTCCTGCCTGCAGCTGCCCGCAGCTGCTGGGCAACTCTGGTAGGTCCTTAAGCCCAAATTTTCTCTCCTCACCCTCTCCCATGCTATTGCACAGGCACCAACACACAGGGCAGGGGAGGGGAAAACATTGGCACACACTAATAAGCGCTCCCTGTCTAGTGAGCATCCTGCAGTTCCTGAGAGCTGTCCTGCAACAGAACTTCTCCTCCTCTCTGCTGGTGATCATTGGCCAGAAGACAGCCCAGGACGCTAGGCAACCACAGCCATCATCGCTGCAGGATGCTGCCTTGCACCCCCTTGCCATGCAGCAGGTCTTCCCGCTGGTTGTCAGTCTGCAGAACCTTTTGGTGCACGTCCAGTTGCAGGTATATAAGATACGACTTTTGGAACACAACCAGTGTTGTTGGGCTGCAAGCAGGTACACTGACCTGAAGAGAAACCACCCTGTTGCAGAACCTACGGGGCTGCCTTTTTTTTTCTGCTGCCTGCATTTTCCACCCCTTACAAACATGTAGGGGTGGAAAGGAGGGATGAGAAGGAGGGAAAATGCTCTTGCTGCAGCATGGCGCAGTGAGAAAGAATGTAAATCAAGCTAGGTGGTACTCCCTGCTGCTGAACTGGATAGCTGAAATTCTGTGCACTGATGACAATCTCTGTTTTCCCATCTCCTGCTCTGCAGGGACGCCACACCCATAGGGACAGAGGTGGGAAAAGTGTAACAAATCCCAGCCCCTCCCCCATGCTCCTGGCAAGGTGCTTTGGGGGTAGTACATCGGTGTGCATTTAACTTGCTCAAGTGATGTTGGGGCTCCATGGGATACTACATCAATTTACATTTAACTCTCTCGAGCGTTGTTGGGCTCTCATCTTTATTCTTTGGAGGCTGTTATTTAATTTTTTTTTTAGTCTTGGAGCAAGTAGTTGTGCCTTTGTCTGGCTCCTTGATGTGACAGATAATTTGCAGCACATTGCGTCCCATGAAGGAGATGAAGGGTGTTATTTTCCTGTGCTGCATGCTCTTCAGATCCTCCCACTTTATGAATTTTTCTCTTGCAATAGCTGTTGACTGGTTTTTGGGGGTTTTTTTCTTATTTTTTACCTTCTCTTGGTATTCCAGAAAGACTTGCTGCTCTCTCCAGCTGTAGTTGCCTTCCTGGAAACCTTAGTGGAATACCTGTATGTGAAGAACCAGGATGTTGGTAAAGTTCTC